TATTTAAGTTTGAACCATTTGTGATTAATAATATTTAGTTTACATTTACGAGAAGAAAATAAATAAGTATATAATAAATAAGGCTAATATAATATATATGTATACAGGGAGGCTCATTGAAAACGTACAAGTCAAGTTTGTTTGTCAGGGGGACAACTTTTGACACAAAAAGCAAACAAAATCTTTAACCCCCTTAGTGGGGGTGTCATCCTCCAAATTTTTTCAAGCGGGAATGGGGACAAATTTTACCTCATTAGAAAGGGTTTTAAATTTCCTATACTATGCTGCTCAGTTTTAGAAAATCGATCGACTTGTTTAGAAATTATGGAGCTAACAATACATTTGAGGAAAAATGCACAAATTGATTTAATTTTACTTAAAAACTTACTGTATTACTGAAATAAATTCCTACAAAAGAATTCGATGTTTTTCCTAGTATTTTTTAGGCTCGTATAAGTGAGTAAATAAATATCGGGGTTTTTGCTTCACATTTAAATAGGCCAGGTGATTTTATTAAAGGTTTTCAAACTTTTTAAACATTTTAAATTATTCAATTATGGTGTACTCAATTACAGAAAGAGTGGAAATTATTGAGCTTTTTTCAAAAACGATGAGTGTGGAAATCGGGTCGCGGAGCTGTTTAACCAACGGCAGCATGACAAACATGCTTCTGGGAAAACTGTTCTCGAATTGGTGGCCAAATTTCGCGAAACAGGTTCCGTTCAGAACAAAAAGAGGCAGCTTGAAAATCGGGTACTAAATAAACCTACGAAGATAGCAGTAGTAGGGCAAGTTGCAATGGATAGTACGCTGAGTACAAGAAAATTGGCCATTACGACGGTCGTGACGCGTACAAGTGTCTAACAGGCAATATGTACCTGGATTTACTACAAAATGCCATCGACCAATCTCTAACACAAATCATAGAGAACGACCCTGCATACAATGATCAGGAACTGACTTTCCAACAAGCAGAGCTCCTCCGCATTACTCGCAAAATGTGCGAATTTTTTTAATGACACGTTTCCAGGATGCTGGAGAGGACGAAGGGGTGCAATTGAGTAGCCTTTCTATTTTTTTATGGGGGCACATAAAAACCGAAGTTTACACCACTCCACCTGTCACATTGAAAGATCTGCGAGGACGAATCATTGACGTATGTTAGATAGATAACCTCTATCACTGTATGCATGTTGGCGGATAACAGTTTGGGCATTTAGGTACTTGACTAATACGATAACTTTTAAATAAAATTCGATTTTTGAATTTCTAAGGTATTGTTAGTATTTCAAAGCTCCATAATTTCTAAACGATCGAGTTTCAAAAATTAGGATTTTTAGGAAATTAAATGCTCTTTTTCTTGAGGTATTATTTGACCCCAATTCCCATTTGAAAAAATTTGGAGGTCGACCCCACTTAGAGGGTTAAAGATTTTGCTTTACTTTTTGAGTCAAAAGTTGCCCCCCGGTGGGCCACCCTGAGTGTAAATAAGGCTAATAAAACTAAAAAGCTTAATTTAAAATTCATTGTAAAATAAATAATTTATGGTTCAATAATAAAGGTCCAATCAGAAGGATTTTTTATAAAACAATTATTTGCTTTATGTTTATGTTTAAAAGGATAATATTTTTTTATATATCTTCCGATGTTGATTTAGGCAAATAAAACTTAGCATTTAATTTAAGTTTAAATTCAGAATATATCTATCTATAGTAAATTTAAAAGTAAACTACGTACACGTCATCAATAAAACAAAAATTTTACGCATTGGTACCAACACTAAATGACTAAATCGAAGTCTGTATTTGAATATTTGAATGCATTTTAACCAAATTAAGTTGGCAACAATTGTGATGTTGTCATGTTTACATTCAAATTTTTCATATTTAAATGACACATAAAAAAGAATTTGACGTTTTAGAATTTCGAAGCTGTCAGTTGTGTTTTTGAATATTTCGTTTAATTCGTGTATTATTTCGTTTATTTTGTTTGTTGTTTGTGTTATTTTATATCGTTTAAGTTTTCATTGCCGTTTTTGTGTTTGTTATATATCGTTTTTTTGTGTTTCCTATATTTAAAATGCCGAAGCATTTAAATAGTCGGAGTCAAGAGTTGGTGTCATCCTTAATACGCTATTTTGAGGCAGAACGGGATAATAATGGACCTTTGTTTCCTTTAACAGCTGTTAGAGAGGTAAATAGGATTATTATTAATTATATATTAGAATATTTAACAAAATATATGTTGGATACATGAAATAATAATATATATACCAGAGACTGACTTTAGATGGCAAAATTTTTGGGTTTTATATCAGAAAATGTCTTTAAAAATGGCTAAAAACATACTTTTGGCGGTGCATCATATAGGTTATAAAAACTCAGACTTTTGACATTTCGGTATTATTCATGTAAACGCCATCTATCGCCCTGTAGTTGCACTACAGCTTTCCCTTGATGCAAGGATTTTAGCATCACATTGACAACCGTGCCCGATCAGCTGATTGATGACGTGTACGTAGTTTACTTTTAAATTTACTATATACTTACATTAAAAGATAAATTATATATTTTTATCTCCACGCGGTCTATAATTTAAACTTAGCATTTAATTTAAGTTTAAATTCAGAATATATCTATCTATACTTACATTAAAAGATAAATTATATATTTTTATCTCCACGCGGTCTATAATTTAAACTTTATTGTTGTCAACATTCGATAAAGAAATCCCTTGTTATGGCCTAGGCCGATAAAAATGTTTATGAGGCAAGTAATTAGTTCGATTTTTTCTCGCTAGGGGTATTGTTTTGACAAATTAATCATTTTCTAAGAAATTAACGTACTAAACTGGTTTAATTTATTTATAATAAGCACTTATTTGTTTGTTTTACTGTTAGTGTTTAATATTTTTCATTTAATTATTGTAAAATTAAATATGAATAATAAAACAAAAAACCATTCTTTTTCTACGATTGAAATTATTTTTAAGTTTTAATTTGCTTTAAGTTTTCAGTGAAATTAAATGTTAAACACAGCTTAAACATTCCAAACTACCTATTTTTTAAATAAAAATCCCAACAAATTGAAATTAGATACCTACCTATTTATTAAACAATTTATGAATTCAATGTAATAGCAAAAATCCATTTCTACTTAAATCATGTTTCTAGGTATTGTCAAACTATTACTGCTTCTAAAAGCAATACTAATTATTGTACATTTAATGTAATCTTTAGCTAATAAATAAATGAGATTCTAAAAAAGTGAGTTTAGGCCACTTTGATGTTGAATTAAATTGACCTATATAAAGTGCTTTGAAGATAAAATGTTGTATGCCATTCGGCAAAGAAGTGCCTTTTTGTGCTTCGCTCAATTGTAGGCCTCCGCTACGCGTCGGCCTTCAAACCTTGAGCTTAGCACAAAAAGCCTTACTTCTTAACCTAATGACATAAATAACTATTATTGTAAATACATAAAGCAATATATACTTATTAATTTTAGCATAGTTTATTTAGAAACTTTTAAAATTGGCGAATGCATCAGGAATAAAATTAGTTTAATTGATATTTATATTTGATTGGGACTTTATATTTTCTGAATTGACTGTAAAACTAAATATCGATTTTTAACAGAAAAAAAACTATTCTTTGTTTCTTTGTTACAATTGGATACATTAAGCCTGGATTTTTTACTGGTCTACTAAATAATCTTATAACCTAAATAATATAATAAAAGATCTTTGATTAAAATTTTAAGATTTCAAATAGTACTGTTATTATGTAAAATATAATTAGGTTTTGAATTTTCTGTAGCACATATTTTTCAATTTATATCACATCGCACAGGAGATTTCAATACCGTCGCAAATTGAATGAAACATTTTGTTTAACCCATTATCTTGTTAGACCAAGAGTTTTCATTTCCACGACATAAAACAACAAAAATTCACTTAATTAGTTTGTATGAAATTTTAAATTTAAAACATTTCGGATATAAATGTTTCATTTAAAAGTAATAAAGTTGTATTTGGCATTTATCGGAAAAGTTACAATTAAAGTGCTGCATATTTAACCCAGTTTATGAATAGACAAATTGTTAAAGCAAGTTATTATCATTAAAAACTTTTATTATTATATTAATAATATTATATAAATTTGATAACAAATTTGTAATTAGACATGACAAAATCAAAATGTAAATTAAATGGACTGATACTTACAAATTGTTTTTTACTAGAGGAGTTTTTAAAAGTTTTGTTTATTAAATATAATGTTTATTTTTATTTATTGGGTTTTTTCACTAATAAATTATTACTGTATTACTGTATTACTATTTCTGATATTAAGTACAATTTTGATGGTTTAATTTAAAATAATAATCAGTTTTTTTACTTTTGATTTGGAAAGATTAAAAAATATGGAAATAAAATTTTTATATCTATATGTTAATAAATAATTTTTTTATATCTATTGTGTTAAAATCTGTATAAATTTTAATTTTTAATTTAGGAGTATTTATTACATTAAAAATATATAGGATTAATGGAGTGGAGTTTAAAAATACAAAAATTATTTTGTTTTGCAAAAAAATTACCGATTTTATAACTTGAAAGTTTTATCATTAACAAATTTTAGGAATAAAGAAAAAACATTGCTTTTCTGTTTTCTTTGATACATCTTGTATAAATACTAAACAAAAAAGCAAACTGGAAGTAAACGGTTTTATAATGCTAAAAAATAGGCCCGGTATATTATGAAACGATAAAAACATTAAATATAAAAAAAATATCCCTTAATTTTAAAACACAATACAATGTTATATGTAATAAATATAGAATACTGAAAATTTAATTAATGGAAAACATTTTTTTTTGTTAAATAATATATAATTATAAAACATAAAACCGTGGTAGAACCGTAAACAGTTATCTTATCGGCATGCCTGGGGAAATTTTCGGTAAAATGCGAAAGAAATTAGGGCAAGCAACGTAAAACTTACTTTTTAAATGCAGTAGACAGTTAATTCATGGCACTTTTTTCTTAAATGTGAAGCTTGCCGATAGATTGATGTACCATATCTCACTGAGCCTAGAGCTTATGTATGGACCGTTTAATTGACTGACATGAAGTGAAACACCATATTCACCAAGAGAGGATTTCAATTTAAACTACATCCAAACCGCAAGCGCAGAGGCGATCACCAAAGGATAATGAATATTCTAAAAATAGCCACCATATAATGGTATTGTATATCCTTTATTTTCAATACTGATTATAGTAGTGAATCTTAATTTTTAGCGTCGTGTTCGATAAGTTTTCGTTAATTATTCGGTGGGCTGTTACAAAACAGTTTTACCCGATTGTAAGTTAAGTATTAACTTGTTGACGCTCATATTAAATCGACGTGCGCATTTGCTTTACGGAAGATTTTATCTGTAAACGCTGATAGACGTACGTTGATCAAGTGTTTAATTTGTTTTTCTTTTTATGTGATTTTAATAAGTATCCCGGCGCATTCGCCATTTTTTTAAGATTTTAAAATTTTGACGTGTAAAATCCTTGATTACTATACTAAAGTTAAGTTTAAAAAAGAATAAAAGCTTGCACACATCTATTTCAGGGGTCAATTGATTTTTATATTTTCAACCCCTTATGAACAATTTTTTATTGGAAGAGAGGGGTCTTACAAATCCTCACATTTTGGTGTATTCGTTTTTTTCATGTTAATTATAAATTTTGACACCAGTGGTTATGTTGGGTGTCATTTGGCAGTTTTTATTTGATTGCATTAGGCCGGTTTTCCACCAAACGGACAAAACAAAAACAAAACACAAACTCGTGTCGAATAAAACAAAACTGCAACTTTTTGCAAACTTTTTGAAGACTGGCGTGTTTTGCGACAGTTTGAGTTTTGTTTTTCGAGTCCCGCTCGAAAGCGGTAACATCAAAAGGTTTCGACGTGTTTTGAAACTCGAGTCTGTTTAGTGGAAACGGTCGTGTTGTGTTTTTTGTTTTCGACTTTTATTTTATTTTGTTAGTCTGGATACGAATTTCATACTAAATTGGTAGGTAAGTAAGAATAGTATATTCTGTAACAAATGCGGAATATGCAATTCCAAACGTGTTTCAGACTATACTTTTTCTACGTTTCCAAAAAATACCATAGAAAAATAATTTAATTGGAAGAAAGTGAGGTTGGATCGGTCTAAAATTTGTTAGATATTAAAAGCAGAGATGTCGCCACGAGTGTTCATTCTATCATCAGATGATAGAATATTTCATTCTGTAACACTTTACGGAATATATGTCATTCCATAGATAAAATTGTTATTAGAAGGGTCAAATTCCGTAATAGGAGTAGAAAAACATATTTTTTTCCAAGTGTATAATAATATTCATATTATATTCCTCATAAGTCTATATAGAAATACTACAATGTAGTTTTTTAAAAAAATTTAACCTCATTTTTAGGTTAGGTTTAACTGTCAGACGACAAAATGTCACCATTATTGTTCGCCGCCGTGTATAGTATATACACAATAATGTAGTGACTACTAGTTCAAAAGTCAAATTATTATTGACCGCCGAACAATTATGGTGACATTTTGTCGTCTGACAGTTAAACCTAACCTAAAAATGAGTTTACAAAATTTCAAAAAAATATCGAAATTTAGAGCTTGAAAAAAAATAGTATATACTATACTGCCGTGCTTAATGAAAACGCCGTAACCAACAATTTTGCGATTTTTGTTTTACGGCATTTTCTACTAGAACAATTCATCCTGCGTCTATCCCCGGTACTCAAAAAACCGTATCTATATATATACGGTTTTTTGAGTACCGGGGATAGACACAGGATGAATTGTTCTAGTAGAAAATGCCGTAAAACAAAAATCGCAAAATTGTTGGTTACGGCGTTTTCATTAAGCACGGCAGTATACACGGCGGCGAAAGCTTATTAATTACCTCGCACACAATCTACTGCCTCGGCGGCGCGCCGCGGCGCCTCGGCAGTGAAATGTGTGCTCTGCTATAATATGAGCTTTCTCCGCCTAGTCTTTAATTTACTATTTTATAGATAGAGGATAGAGAATTTGTTTTGTAACGCTGGATCAGTTTAAATGATAGGGGAAGGTGGGGGAATTTTGCGCGGTGGGTAATTTTACGCATAAACAATTCTTCCAGATATGAAGTAAATAATACATTTTTTGAATGTTGCAAACTTGGAAACGTTGCTTTGGGTATACGGGGACTAAAGTGTACCGCAATTAAGCTTGTAGCTTTTAGCTAGTGACCATGGTCACTAGCTAATTGTGATACATGTACGTTGATCTAAGAAATCCATGTCGTTTCCGCTACGAGTTAAGTTTAAATTTCTGTCCAATCGCTTAAATGTTTATAACACAACTTTATATGATCTTTTCTCGTCATCTGGTGTATGTTTAAATTGTTCAGGATAACTTTTGGAATGTTTTTTAGTATCACAATATTTTTCTTGCAATGGGGGTAATTTTACGCTAAAAAATTGGGGTAATTTTGCGCTGCAAAATTTGGCCAATATGGGAGCTTTTGGTACAGGAGCCTAGATTGTTCAGCATAAACAGTTCCATTTGGGCACACGCGGAGTGTGAGCGAAAAAAACAACCCCTAAAACTACATATGTGACAACTGCTGCATGTAGACTCTCTTATTTCTAAGAACAAAAATTTTATTTTTAGTTATTTATTTTTGATTTTGTTTGTTTTGTTTGTTTCATAGAGAAAATAGTTTTGTTATATTTTTATGTTTTAATATAATAATATTATAGAAATAAACGGTTTATTTAGATACCTACAAATCTTTCTCTATACAGCGCAAATTTTCCCCCTATGATGCGCAAAATTACCCTGATAGGTGGGTAATTTTGCGCAAATGCATTATTTAAAAAAATGTAGTTTTTGCATACCAAAGAATTTTTTTTTATAAATTGCGCATTATATACTCATAGTAAACATAGTAGACTATCGCTGGTATTAATTGCAAAATTTCACATTTAAACTTAACAAAGATACTAGAGATTTTGCTTAGATGCGCAGAATTCCCCCACCTTCCCCTACACATATATGTATATTAGACTGGGCCAAAAAAATTGACTATTTTTTTTTTGAAAAATATATTGAGAATGTCATTCAAAAAATTTGGTGAATATTTCAGCCCTTAATATTAATTTTAAGAGGTCTATCATCGCTATTTTTGATTTTTAGTCATAATTTGATGTTTTACGTTAGAACTGTCAAAACATTGAAGTGAAAAAAATTCCTTTTCACTTATTTTTATATAAAATTAAATTCTCTACAAAAAAGGTCTGATTAAAAATTTTTGTCAGACGAGCCGTTTCCGAGTAATTGAGCTTAATAAATCGATGTGTTTTTTCGATTTGCCCTTTTTACTTTGAAATTTTGTAACTAATGAATCAATGAATATTTAAAAAATCTCACGTCGAAAATTTATGTTCTACAAAAAAGGTCTCTTAACATTTTTGCCTAAATTTAATTCTTCAAAAGTTATTCACGAAGAAGTATAAACCAGCCACAACTAAGAATAAGAAAATCTTTTTCTCTAAACATGTTGGTTGATACTGAAAAAGTGTGTTCTGACATAATCACGACAACTAGTGGAAAAGGACCGAAAACAAAAACAAAACTCGAACAAAACTTATTTTGCTTGATGGAAACAAGAGTTTCGGGTTTGTTTCAGTTTTGTTTTTGATTTGCAAGTTTTTAAAAACACAAACAAAACCCAAACTCAACTGTTCGTTTAGTGGAAAACCGGCATAAAAATTTTAACCCAATAAAGTAGACGGCTAAAAATTGTTCGCGTGACAGCATTATTTGAAAACATGACCAATAATATAATATAATATATATATATATATATATATATATATATATGCAGATTCCTTGCATAAAATTTTGTGATTAGGGGTTTTTTGTTATGTTTTTATTAAAAATATTAATTTTTCCTCCATTTTTACGCAAAAAAGATATACCTTGTAAATGTCGATTCGGGGATTTGTTCGAACCGCTGGATAGGTCGTGGAAGCCAAATGCCTTGGCCTGCCCGAAACCCCGACTTTAACCCCCTTGATTTTTGTGTATGGGGATACATGAAATCACTTGTTTATGCAGAGACGATTAATACTAGGGAACAACTATGGCAAAAAATTCAGAATGCAGCGGAATCGTTTCAAAATGAACAACTATTATTTTAAATCAGGCGGTCATTCGATAGATGAGTAGCCAAGTGCATTGAAGTTAACGGCAATCACTTTGAGCAATTATTGTCAAAAGAAAATCTTTTCTTTTTTTGAGATTTCATAGTTTTTATAATATTAATGAAATATATTGATAGTTCAAAATTTTTAATAGGTGCTCTAAAAATCTACCATTGTAATCTGAATTATTTGTAATTAAATTCTATTCTATTCTATTTGACTAATATTTAATACAACAATGAGTTTTTAAAACGGATGCATTAAATATTGTAAATGCAAAACTTTCGAAAACAAATCCCCGAAACCAAGCGAAGGCGCGAAAAAGTTACCCTCGTTTTTATGTACCCAGAGCGCCGCAGAGAGCGCCCTCTACAATCTACATCAAAATTATTAACAAATTCAAATTTCTCGACCCAAAAAACCCCTAATCAAAAATATTGAATTATAAATAAGTTAATTAGAAAAATCGAAAATTAAATTTTCACTGGGACACCTTGTATCTCGGTTATTGTCAACTTTTGAACTAAGCTAAGTTTGGACAAATCGTAATATTTTTACCCAAGAAATCTGAATTTTTACTGTGTACCATTAGTTATGGGACACCCTGTATATATATATATATATATATACTGCCCTACTATGGAGAAAGGCAGTAACTACAAAAAAAATTCTTAATGCGTTTTCTTGTGCTATGATAAAGCTATGGACATTTTGTACCTTAATTCAACTAAGAAATGCAGTAAACTATCTTATAAGTTAAATAAATCAATTAACTACTTTTTATAAAAATTTAGTTTA